GATATCCAGAAGCTCCCCATTCCGTTGGCCACCCAGGTCGCCTGGCCTTACTGCACCTGACTTTTTCTTGTGGGGTTATTGCAAACAGGAAGTCTWCAAAGCAAAACCAACAAAYYTGAATGAACTAAGGCAATCCATTCGAGAAACAATTGCGGCTATTCCTGTCTCAACTCTCCAAGCAGTAATGAACAACTTTTTGGTGAGATGCCGCGCATGCATCAACGAGCCAGGGGGGGCATTTCAATTCCATTACTTTTAAAACTAATTAAGCTATATTTAATAAAATTGAATGAGCTTTAACATAAATAATAGAAAAATGAATTCCATACGCTGAAACAAAAAAATATTTGAGTTTCTTAATGTAGCAAAATTCATCAGCCACCCTCTATAATACTCTGCATCAACTGAGTTGCACGAGTATATAACCTGCATTTTCCATGTTTAATGGAAAATACTAATATTTGAGAATGCCGAGAAAGCTATGAAAAATATTCTAGACTAATATATCGGAAAGTTTTTTCACTTTTACAGGGTTGGTCCGGAAAGTACAAGGACTCTTAAAATGCTTGCCTTTCATTGGCCTTTTCAGACAAGGAAACAAAAAAATTGCGGGGGTTAACATATCTAGGCTATATGGCGGCTGCAAAACTGCCACAATTTCTCAGTGATCACTTTTGGAACCATCTCCGTGCACACATTGCGCACGTTCAAATGTCATGAATCACAAATTTTCATAAATTTAAAATTTTGGCAATTAAACGAATACTTTGTCTACGATCTGAGTTCAAAACTTTGCGCACAATAGTCACATTGCCAGTTTTTGTCGTAGTCGCAAGTCTCCCCGCCCGGTATTCTTCAGCAACTTCTTCCCGGCCCTCCAAAAAGGGCTGGCGTCACTGAAAAACATCACTTCTTGCTAAAGCAACATCTGGCTAAGCCTGCTTGATCACATCAACCGTATCTGCCGCAGATTTACCGAGTTTTACATTGAATTTAATCACGTACCTCTGTTCTAACGAACGCTGTATTTGAGGCTTACACCACTCACAAGACTCTTTAGATCAGTGGTCGGCATTTCTTAGCAAAATTTCGCAAACTAACTTCACACGTACGCTTACGCGCTATCGTTCAGTCGTGGTCGGGCCAGCCGCAGTATATATACTGAGAGGAAGAAGTCGCACGGTACGATATCAGGTGAATAAAGGGAGTGGAATGGATAAAATGTGATTTCTGGTCAAATAATCGATCACAAGCGTCAATCGATGAGAGAAATTTTTGGTCGTCAGTCAATTTGTGCGGAACAAACCGTACACACACACCTTTCGTAAGCCCAAATGTTCGGCCAACATTCGATAAATCGATTTTTTGGAGATGTTCAATTCCATTTCCATAAATTTCAATGATAATTTCGGCTAAATTTTGATGAATTCACGCACAGTTTCAATGGAATTTTTGGTGATCACGGATTTTGATTGGCTCACATGTTGATCGTCATTTATGTCCTCACGACCAGTCTAAAAACGTTGAAACCACTGCACTCTGCTATTCAATCATCGCGAAAAACTTGTTTCATCAATTAAAACATTTCGGTAAAAATTGTAAAGGTAACACAAAAATACTGACACATAAAACGCAATAACTGCACTTCCAATCTATGAACTGCCAAATATCAAAACACATTCAAAAACATAAATACTCACAATTACCTCACAAATTTGTGATGTCTGAAAGCAAACCTCACAATGCAAAATCGCCTGTGTTGATTTTGTTAATTTCAGATTTTTAAAGAAATTTGCTATTATTTTATTGAAATAGAGGAGGAATTATTCAAAGAGGTTATCCGTTATAAATATAAGTATTTTCTTATATATGTAACTTAACGTGTTTGCACATTTCACTTCCTTCTTTTAATGAATCGGACAATATATTATTTGTAAAGGTAGTTGTTTAGTATATGTGTAAAAAAAAAAATATATTATTGTTTAAATAATATGCTGTAATACTGCAGCTGCTCCTAAGTTGATCTTTCTATTTTTAAAGTCCTGAAAATAAATGAAATGATTGATTATATTTGTTTATATCAGAGAGCTGCAACGAGTACGATTAAAACAGGGCAAATAATCGTGCTAAAAACACAATCAAATCCATTCAGTTCATCATAGACATCATTGTTGATCAATTCGAGTACCCGACAGCTTCAACTGATTTGATGCAACACGAACAATCTGCTTTTCGGCAATCACGATCGAATAAACCGGTATGGCTGGCTTCGGTTCCAATCGTATCATGTCAGTTCGACGAATTGATATCAGCTTTGGAAGTATGCGCATGCTACTGTGGCGATAATAATATACCACTTTTAATATTTAAACGATTATTTATTAAGATAACTCAAAAGACTTCTTAACTTGTTGGCGTCTGTACAAGAAGTGACGCTTCTTAAAACGAAAAACTTGGAATTCAGTTGAAAATGTAAATTTCTAGGAAGAAGATAAAGAGAATGAAATAATAAAATAACTAACAAACAGTGCTGCCAGATGTCATACGTGCCCACACTACAAATTTTCGATAAGTAAACCATGGAAATTCCATCGAGTACGTACATACATATATACATATTTGTTGTATGTATGTACTCGATGGAATTTCCATTATGCATATAACATTTGTATATGCATTCGTACATGTGTATGCAAACATATGTATGTATTTGAAGTAGAGAGAAGTGCACGAGTATATCAGTGTTAGGAGATGATATACAAATCGAACGCTGTCGACCATTTCAATCATTGAAGCATGAGTTTGCAACACACTAGTAAACAAATCAGGTATAAGCTGATCGCTAGTGATTCAAAGTTTTTCTCTATCGCTGATTTGAAGACAAACGCTTCGTGCACATGAAACAAACTGACAGAATAATACAGAGTAAAGTGCTGAACACATAGAGAGCCACACGACATGGCAGTACGACAGTCAACTGTAAATGGCGTCGTGAATCCTCCTATATGAACATTTGTAAGAAGACAGCGACGTAACAATGGTCGGCATGTACACAAAACAACACAGCTGTCTATTTTGTATGTACACAATTTCGTTGTGACCATACTAATACCTTTCACTTCAATGTAATTTTAATATTTTGTTGAAGTGAATTTTTTATGCAAAAAATAAGTAAATAGGGAAATTTATTTGTTTTAAATTATCACTTGTTATTACAAATGTTATAACAGAGCTATTTTATGTTTTTATTTGTAAAATAACGTCAGGTTTGTTAGAGATTTGATTAATTTTACATTTTACATATTAGTGGCATCACTCTTCTCTACTGTCAACTCTACAGTTGTCGACAAATTTAAGTATTGTTTTTTGAAGTTAGCGAGAGCGACAACTGACGTCGTGCAGCTGTTTAAATAACTGTGTCCTTAAGAACGTGTGTATTTTAATATTTATCGCTTGTTTTTACGAGGAGGAATCATCGAAAGCCTGAACCCCATGTCAGTGTGGAACTAAAATCCGAACTAAACCTCCTACCGTGATGTACCCCGTTGCCCCCGATACCACCGTCAAGTACTACGTTGGGAGGGTGTTTGAGTGACACCCATGCGTACGTGATGGTCAAAACGCATTCAGTTACAAGTTGCATTTACTTGGCCCCACCTCTGTTGGTCTGATAACCCCCTCGTACATTGTTCGTCGTCAACCCTTCCCGTCACGTCAATGTTTGTGTGTTTGAGTCGTGATTGTCCGTTAGATTTAACAGGTCTCTTCTCCGCCGCTGTTCGCTGGCGCGTTGGGATGTCATAACCCTGGCTGGAACTTCGCAAGCATCTTTCCACTTCTGTACCGATTCGACCATTTGGCTTACCAAGTTATCGGGAGTTGGGTCTACACCGAAAGCATTTTTAAGTGTTGCCTCTCATGATTACATTTTCGGTAATAGACAAATGTGTGTTCCACATTTTGGATGGTATTCCATTACTGCCACCGCAATAATCACATGTGTCGTTATTTTCGTACCCGAATCGTTTCAAATGTGCTTTAAAGCAGCCATGTCCTGTGAGAATTTGAGTTAGGTGGAAATCTACCTCACCGTGTGGTCTATTGATCATGGTTGGACGTTGGGGATCAGTGGAAATGTGCTCCGCCCGTTTCCGCTTTCCTCCCAACGTTTTTGTCATTGATTCACTGCCTCTTCTCTTGCTATTTCTTTTAATGTATTGTGCTGTAACCTGTCATTTGTACAGCATTGGATCTCCTTGGCCGCAGAACATACTCTTAGCGCGCAAGTGGTATATATCGAAAAAAGGCCACGGCGATATGATTTCACTTCTAGGGCTTTTGTCCATATCTGGACGTCAAACACCGCGACTGACTTTAGTACACCAGCTAATAGTCGTCTTCTATTTTGTTTTGGCCCTCGGCTATTGAGCATTAACCGGCTCTAGGCTCTGCACACTAATATCAAGTTTTGCCTTTTCCATATGGTGGGAAAGCGGCCTTCCTGAATGCATGTATTATACATAGTTCTAAAGGGTCTATGTTTCTAGCTATCGCTATTTTTAGCACTATATTCGGAATTCCATCCGGTCCAGGGGCTTTAGATGGGTTTAACCGTTTGCATGCTTCTCGGACTTCTTCATTCGAAACAGCCGGAAAATCCTGATGGAGTGGGGGTAGATAGGGAAGAGGACCGGAACTATTCTCTCAATAGTTGAGGGGGAGGTTGGGATTTGCGCGCCAGTGTGGAGTTTTCCTATTACCGTTTTATAAGCGTGTCCCCAAGCGTTGTTTTCAACATCGTCGCACAGTTTAAAGAAACATTTCTGCTTGCTTGTTTTAGTAATTTTCTTTTGTCCTTAAAGTGTTAAAGAGTTGTGTATTTAGGTGTACCTCGTGACCTTTGGTATAATAATAACATTGAAGCGTCGCATGCACTCTTAATACAGCTCATAATCGAGAAAGCAGCTTTGTTAGCCGACAACAATTGCCGGGAAGAGTAGTTAGTCTGAAGACTTCTTCAAAAAGGTCTGGATCGAACGTGGTGGGTCGCCAGTTACTTCTTTTAGGGTCGGTACACGCTGTTGTTCGTGTGTTATATTTATATCGAATATAATTTCATAGTTAAAAGTGTAATTATCCCTAATTTCCCAGTAAGATTTGCGAACTAAGCTCGAGTGTACTAACGTTAGGTCTATCACCGATTGTCGGTCATCTTTGTTAAATGTGCATTGGTTGAGAGCATTTAAAAGCTCCAGATCAAGAGAGGCAAAAGCACTCCTAGTAGGGTTCTCCTCTGCAGTTGGTTCTTTTGCATCCCCACTCGATAGCCCAGGCATTAAAGTCACCAGCTATTATAACTTTCATTTTGCATCTGGCATCGGCCACTATGTTGTCGATAATAAGGTGATATTCTTCGTCGTTGAGGCTAGGGCGTAAGTAGCAGCTATATACATATATTAATATTATTAGTTGTTGTTCGAACAAAACCATCCATCCATCGGTGCTTCCAGTTGCGCAAAGTTATTGTTACATTTCCATACAACCGCTTTATTTCGAGTGTCACTTACCCAAGTTTAGTAAGTGTCCGATTTTATATGGTTCACTTAGTAGAACCACATCAATTTGCTTTTCGGCTACTGACAGTTTCAATAAGTCATGAGCCGCTTGCAGTGGTCTGCGTTCAGTTATACACCTGACGCTTCCAGTAGAGTGATCGATTTCCTTTGTACCAGCTTTCAAGCAGAGCAAACATTTTGGCTCGTTGTTGCAGTCCTTTGCCTGGTGTTCTCCTTCGCCACATCTTCTACAGAGTCTGGACCTGTCCTCATTTGTGCAGGTTTTTGCAGTGTGTCCATAATCGAGACATTTAAAGCACCGCTGTGGTTGTCTGTATTCTCGATCAGTAGAAGCTTTCTAGCTGAGAGCTGTTTAGGTGTCTTCATAGGACTTTCTTAAGTTCTTAATTGTTGGCATCGTCAGTTCAGGGTTACCTAATTCTCGCTTGCAGTCTGTCTCACTCTATGTGTTCAGCCCTTAACGGATCAGTACTTAAGTATAAACAAAAACTTATTACTCGTTGCAGTACTCTGATATATATATTCATACATATGTATATGAAATAGACAGAAGTGCACGAGTAAATCAGTTCTTAGGGGATGATATACAAACCGAACGCTGTCGACCATTTCAATCATTGAAGCATAAGTACAATATGTATCACCTCGGGTATTTTCTGCAAATGCGAACGTGCATAAACAAATCAGTTTTTGGCATGATAATTCAGATGGTGGAGCACGGTGCTCGTTCGTTCCGTAGATGTGGTTGGCCGTGGGGAAACGGTCGGCGCAAGTTATTCTACAAAAATATTAAATAAAAACAAAAGGTTTCATGTAATATATGTAATTTTAATATGAATAATTGGAAACACACTTACCACGTTTGTATCGCTAAGCGGTCGCGAAACGAGAAAGCGCGCAACTTTTTTAGTTATTGTTTAGTTGCGCGCGAATTAAAACTTCGAAAAAGAGGAAAAGAAAATATTATTCTGCCGACACAGACGTGGCAAAAGAAATTGGGCGGGGCGGCGTCACCATTCTCCCCGCTTTGCAGTATTACTGCAAATGCAGTTTACAATAGATTACTTAAAACTAACTTAACTAACTGGCTCCTGCACTTCCTCTTCCACGTCATCTTTTGGGGTGGCCGACAAGACGAATCGAGTCAAGTTCGGTCTGCGAAATGCCGCTGAGATGAATTGAATCTCAGTCGGTCATTGCCATGCCACCAACGTGCATAGAAGTCACCACCTTCTGAGGTCGGCGAGACGACTCGCGTCTAACTCGATCCTGGGTATGTATTGATTATGAGATGTGTTTGGAGCCAGTGCACTTTATTGTGCCGATGTTATACGCGGCGGATATTATATATCGACGTATTTTGGGCGATGAGTTGACCCCCTCTCCTTGATACTACGGCGTGCACCTGCTTCACGACGAACGTCTCGTCCACGCCTTCGTTTCGGATGGGGTGGCCGATGAGACGAATCGAGTCTCGTTCGGTCCGGACAATGTCGCTGAGACGAATCGAGTCTCAGTCGATCGTTGCCATGCCGCCAATCCGAAAGGAAGTTACCCGCACCCCGAAGTCGGCGAGACGACTCGAGTCTGGCTCGATCTTGGGCGTGTGGTATGCGGGAGAGGCATCGTTGGTCAGAGCTTTGCGTGTTACCGTCATGCACTGAGGTGGGCTGATTGTAGACAATTCTGTTGATCGAACTGTTGCTGCTGCTGTTGTTGCTGTCGTTAGCCACCACGGCTAATGTGGAAGAGCCGTTCGAGGTGGCTGTTTCGTTCAGAATGTTAGCCAAATCATGTGATGGTATTGATGTCGGTGTTGGGGGCTGGTGTGGTGGCTGATGCAGCTGATGTTGCTGGATTTGCAGCGGTTGATGCTGAAGTTGTTGTTGTTGCGCTGCCACCGTTGGGCTGGACGCCATGGGCGACGAAATGTGCGCTGGAGACATAGACGGCTGCGTTATCGGCAGCTGTGCTTCACGCTGCGTTGACTGCTGTCGTTGTTGTTGTTGATGCTGTTGTGGTAATGGCTGTTGCCGCGGCTGTGATTGAATCGCTGTCTGCGTCTGTGTTAGGATCTGAGTAGGCGTTGACGTCGGCAGTGGCTGTGACTGCAATTGTGAAATCTGTTGTTGTTTTAGTCTTGACTTGAAACTAGCTGGTGCATCTTGTGTCACCGTTGACATTTCAGCAAACGGATCGCCTAGCAACTGGTGCTGGCGCTGTTGTTGATATGGTTGATACATTTGTTGTTGGGGCGTTGTTGGATGATGTGGTGATAGTCTTGGCTGATGTCTTTTCGACTGCTGTTGCAGCATAGTCTGTTGATGGGGAGATTGTTGTTTCTGTTGTGCAAATTAGTATTAATTTTACTACAGAAATGGTTTTGTGTTTGTTGTTTAGCTATTGCTGAGTTTTGTCCGTTGACATTACCATTTATCTTTGTTTCTTCCGAGGGAACAGAACCTGTTGAAATCCAACCAAACACTGTACGTTGTGTAACGAGGGATCCGACGATTTTCGATTGTACCCCATTTAGAATGATTTTCGGGTAAAGATCCGCTCCAATCAACAAGTCAACCTTTTGACTCGTATAGAAATTACTATCCGCTAAGGGGATATTGGGTAACCTTTTTACCATTGAAGAGTTAATTGATCTGGATGGAAGCAGTCCAGTCAATTTTGGCAGTACCAACGCTTCCGCCTGTAGTCTTAAACTTTTGTTACGGGGCGAGCCAATTGTAATCGAGCATACCGATTGAACTCGTCCTGATACGGTATTATTCAATCCTGAAACTCGCGCTTTGACCTTTTTGCTTGCCAGATGTAAGCGTTTTTGCAAACTGTTGCTTAAGAAGGTGGCTTCAGATCCCGAATCAATCAGGGCTCTGACAGTGAAGGTGCTCTTGTTGTGACATATGGTCACCATGGCTGTACCTAAGAGCATGCTTCGACTGGTAGGCACATTTGAAATATTGGCCTTAATAGAGGCCACATGAGATTTAGTAGAAACCTCAGTAGTGTCTGTGCTGTCAGATATCAGAGCTATTCCCTCACTCTGATCCCGATGAATCATAGAGTGATGCCTCTGTATACATTTATTAGAATTAAACATACTTTTACAATTTTTGACTTCATGTGAGTCTGATAAACAGTTAAGGCAGACGTGGAGTTTTCTGACAGCAATTAACCGCTGCATCTCAATGAATCTTTGACAAGTTTTCAAAATGTGCGATTGAGATGAGCAAAGTTTACATTTAATATTGGTTTTCTTAGCGTGATGGGAATTGATGGGTTTGGATCCAATCCTTGACTGCAAGGTTGGTATCCGACCTTCGCCATCATCCGACTCAATCTTAGGTTGAGCACTCAACTCGCCTTTGAGGTTTGCTACTCTCTCTAGCGTTTTAACCCGTTTGGTTAGAAACTTGTCTAACTCAACCCATTTTGGGATCTCTGAATCCGAATCCAGAGATTGTTCCCCAAGCGACAGTGTATAGTCCGGTAGTCGGATAGAACACAAATACGTGAATATGGCATCCCAGCTATCTACATTGATGCCATGTATTTGTAAAGCTGATATGCAGCTATTTATCTCCCGCTGTAAATTTCTGAGTTCGGTCTCAGATTCTGTTGATATATGCGGAAGCTTGAACAATAAATTTAGTTGTGTGTTGAC